GGGGGGGGGGGGGGGGGGGCGTCCGTGAGTGTTGACACTGGACGGGAGTGAGGTTGATAGGGTTTTATTCATACCTCCCTGTTCAGGCGTCCTTATCGTCAGGATTCTGAGGGTGTATATAATACACCATGAGAACTTTTGCCATCGTTCTCGCGCTAGAGGATGTGCCTCTGCCAGGCCGGCGAGCGAAAAACTGGTGAGCACGGGTGAGAAAAAGCTTCGCTTGAGAACCTTAACTTCACTTTCCTGTATCGATGGAGGATGGTGCAGCCACCGTGATGTTCTGGTGGGAGTTTCTCGCATTTCTTGCTGCACGGATCAGAGCGCTTTACTCTGATATGGAGGTTGTGTCATGAAGACGAATGCCTAGCCAACCAAAAAATGCACCCTTCGCTAGCGAACGAGTTAGCAGACCTCGTGGACATTTGCTTGAAGTCAGTGCGTCACGCATTCTGCCATGCCCAAACCTTCTTCGGGTGATGCGCGGTGCAAGGCCAGAAGCGTTGTGCAAGATTATGTGCGACATTCTATTGCCAAGAAGCAGATGGAGCACTGCCACACGCACAAACCCCGAGGTCGCCTCGCGTGCAGAGACGCGCTGCAAGACCACAAATCGATGGCACCGAACGATTGAAGAAGGCAGCAGAGTTTGCAGAAGGTGCTTTAGAAGCGCCAGAGTAAATGCCCGGATCTGCAAATGAAGCGTGCCAAACTTCAGGCACGAAGCATCCGTCAACCATGGCCGCATGCCCGGGAAGATTAGATGCACCAGCAGTCTCCAGTTCAGGCATGGACAAAAAGCGCATGCCCAAAGACACCAGGCTGCGAGATCTGATTGAGGGGCTGTGGATTGCAAGACGGACCTTCCTGGGCCAGCATCTCAGCGCAACAGCCCTTTGACTGCATCGCTGAAGCCCTGTCGTATACCAGGCATCGCAAGTGTGCTGGTTGCCCTCGGCCTTTGGCTGGCTCAGCATGAGGCGACCTTTTTTGCACAGGTTCGTTGGTTGCAAATGCGCATCACGTCATGTTCGCAGGCATATGTCCGACTGTGAACCTCGGGGCGAATGAAAGCCTCTTTTGGCCGAGAGCGTGGTTGACGGATGGGGCGGCTCGTTCATCACGCTGCTCCATGTAGCTGTTCAGGCTCAGGAGATGTCGTAGAAGGCTTCCAAGCCAGGAGACCCCTCTTTCAGCGGGTCGGTTTGGATTGTGCCTGAACATGGCGGCCGGCAGCATGCGCTTCAGCCGAATGGATGAGAGCGACAGGCCAGCTGGACAAGAGCTGGAGGAGTGCACGAAGGGCTTGATAGGGTTTGAAAAAAGAGGGTTCCGGAAGGAGCTACCTTGCTCAACATCCTTATAGAAGGTTCTTCTGATAAGGATCCTGCTATCTGGGGCTAGGGTGTTGCAGTCGTAGCACTCGTCGGGTCTCTAATCCCGTGAACCTCCTTGGAGGAGTCACCTCTTCAGGAGGTGCCCTTGTCGGTTCTGCACAAGCGTGCTTCCCCATTGAATCTGAGCCATCAGAGCCTGGCACATGGCCTGGACAGCGCCAGAAGGCTGGACTTATGAAAGGCAATCCGTTTAGTGTCACTTTTTGGACATGTGGTTGGGCTCCATGATTTTAAGGGACTTCTGTTTACAAGGCTGGACGCCTTGGAGTGGTTGGTGCAAGCCTTTGATGCCCTGGACCTCGCAGACGAGCAGCTCTTTTCGGCTATTGGTTTCTAGGTTCCCTAGTAGTAGCCTTTTTGGCTCCTTTTTTGAGGGTTTCCTCATACCCTAAACCCTAAACTCCCGCGAAGCGGGTGGGAAAAAACTCCCTAAACCCTAAACCGTGCAAAATAAAGGGTATATGATGATATATCCTTCTTCTTAAGGGCCTACTGGGGTTCTCCGAGGTTTGCTGGACCGCTTCGCAGCGAATGCCACGGCACCCATCGCGGCAGGCCCAGGTGCCTTCGCGCTGGTCCTGGCCGTGATGCTCGTGGCTCTGAAGGTCTCGGGCTTCAAGAAGGACCTATTCTTGAAAATTCAGCAGAGCAGCAGAATCCCTCTCCTTTTCCTTTTAAGAAGCGCGAATCAGTCGGTACTTGGCCCTCTTCGTAGGTTGTAGTTGAATCGCAGCACCGTATCAAGAAGGATCTGGAACGAGCCAGACGCCTGGTTGTGGAGGTTTCGGGCTCCTCGCGGCCCTGGGCCGCGGTGCGCAAGGCGGAGTTTAGCATCCTCCGGCGCTTGGGCTTCCGCGCCTGCACGCCCACGGCCTTCGACCTGCTAGACCGCTTGCTCTCGGATCTCTTCCCGTCCCTTGCACTGCGTCTCGCGGGCAACGCGTCGGCAGGGTCGGGCCCTATGCCCTCGGCTGGAACCGATCCAGCTAGCTGGGACCCGGAGTCCAAGCTGCGCTGCAGCAATCTCGCCAGGTTCCTGCTAGAGATGTGTGTGGTGTACGACCCCGAAGCATTGTATGGATCTGGTCGCCCGCCCTTGGTCAGCGCTGTGGCCGCTTTGCTCCTCAGCCTCTTGTCTCATTCTGCTCCCAGACACTACGCGCAGATGATGGCCGAAGCGGTCCATCTCACCGAGCTACTTGGCATCGCTTTTTCGTGTCGAGGAGCCAGGATCCAAGAGTCAGAGCCTATGGCATAGGATCAGCCACCCGAGGTCCAATCGCACGACTTTGATGGAGATCGCAGAGGCCATGCGCAGCCGTTGGGTCATGGTCAACCCGGCACGATTTGTGGAGCTTTCTGTAGCCGAGCTGATGCGTGCGTGCCGGATCACATCGTTTGCTTTGTCCTGCCTGCCAACCACCAACTCACGCGCTGAGGTCAATCCCTATAATGGCTACGGCTCAAGTTTTCCACCTCACGACAAGCACCTAGCGGACCTAGCGCCTGGCTCTCGACATGCGCTGGCCATGGATGATCCTGACCGCCTGGTCGGCCGTCGTCTGTGGAGGAGCACTTTCTGCCTGGCACTTCATCTCCAAGCGGGGCTTCAAGATGGCACCTCAAGGGCTTTACCGCCAGGAGTTGCAGAGCTACTCTGAGCTCTTCGG